TTTGGAAAGTGTGAACAGAATCGAACGTTTTAGAAATATGTTTTGAAAAGTTACACCTGTTGTATATCTGGGAAATGGAGGAGAGTCGTGGTCTTAGTGAATTTATTTCCTAAGTGATTGTTAATGTTATGAAAGATTGGGAACGGGGATTAATGAAAAGAAAAGAAAATTGAATTGCCTATGGCGTTGATTGAAATGGTTGTTTTCAAGAAAAGTTCATACTTATGCATATTTTGTATAAACTGTCACATTACTATTCTAGTATGAGATTGGGTATTCATGATCATAGCTATCTGTATGTTGTTATTGCTGAGGGCCATGTTGAGATCCCTACTGGACTATATGTTCATCCCACCTTGTTGAATCTTTTTCAGGTGTTGAGCTGAATGTGCTGCAAGATTTGGATCTTCTGATTTGTTGGCCACGGGGCCTCTCTTATATGGGCAGAATGCCATATGTGTAAAAGGGTTGCACCCTTCTTCTTGATTTGTTGTTAATGATGTAAGCCCAAGGGCAATTTATTTATTATACTCATGTTGTATTTACTTGCATACGAATGAGAGCAATGTTATTCACTTCTACGAGTTGAATATACGAGTTTATTTCCGCATGTTATCTCTGAAATGGAATTAAGTAAATGAAATTGGTAATACTTCGTGTAATAAAAAGTGGGGCGTGACAACATATATATTCATATGACACCCCATCATAGCACTATTAATTATCATAACCAATTATTAGAGTCGGAATCATAATTTCATGTCGGCAACCAATCAAGAGAATGGGATGGTTGTGTCAATTGCATTCTGTTCGATGTTACGCTCCCATTCCAACTTGTACTCCATTCTGACTTATTCTAGTGTGTACAAGAAAGAAAGGGAAAGAAAATAACACTTACTTTTTCATCGATTTGTTTGGTTTACTGGAAAATTTTAAATAGAAACAAGAATCCCAATTTGTACACGTTTGGGGAAAGTCTATAGTACATTTTGTACAAAAAATATACGGTACATACAAAATCAATGGTTAGGATTGAGCCATATCATTAAAAGTGACCTCCTAACAGGTTACTTTTTATAGTTATGAGCTAAAATCATATTTCTTTATAATTATAATCAAATTGATCATAACTTAGCTATAACTACATCTCATAACCAACACCATTTTGTTCATAACTAATATCACATATTTCATAACCACATCTCATAACCAACACTATTTTGTTCATAACTAATATCACATATTTCATAATCATAATCACATATCTCATAACCAACACCACTTTGATCATAACAAATATCACATATCTCATAACTATTGATCACATATCTCATACCTACTATCCACATACATCATAACCACATCTCATAACCAATCCCTTTGAGTCATAACCAACATCACATATCTCATAACCACTAGTCACATATCTCGTAACCAACACCTTTTTGTCATAACCAATATCACATATCTCATAATCACTAATCACATATCTCATAACTACTACCCACATACATTGTAACCACATCTCATAACCAATCCCTTGGAGTCATAACCAACATCACATATCTCATAACCACTAGTCACATATCTTGTAACAAACACCTTTTTATCATAACCAATATCACATATCTCATAACCACTAATCACATATCTCATAACTACTACCCACATACATCATAACCACATCTCATAACCAATCCCTTTGAGTCATAACCAACATCACATATCTCATAACCACTAGTCACATATCTCGTAACCAACATCTTTTTGTCATAACCAATATCACATATCTCATAATCACTAATCACATATCTTATAATTAACACCTTTTTGCTCATAACCACATCACTTTGATCATAACCAACATCACATATCTCATAACTACTAGTCACATATCTAATAACCAACATCACATATCTCACAACCACTAGTCACATAACCAATATCTCATAACTCATAACCATTAATACATATAGCATAACCACACCCTTTGACACCACTTTGCTCATAACCATTACCTACATATCTCATAACCACTAACACATATAGCATAAATAAATACCCTTTGACACCACTTTGCTCATAACCATTACTCACGTATCTCGTAACCACTCATAACCATTACTCACATATCTCATAACCACTAACACATATAGCATAACCAATACCCTTTGACACCACTTTGCTCATAACCATTACTCACATATCTCATAACCACTCATAACCATTACCCACATATCTCATAACCACTAATAACCATTACCCACATATCTCATAACCACTAACACATATATCTTCACTCAGCCTCAACAAAAGCAGACTCCAAACCCACCACTATGTCAACTTTCCAACCCATCATCCACCACCTTTTGCACACACGCATATCCTTTTTTTTCCCTCCCCCCCTTCCTTTTTTTTTTTTTTTTTTTCCATTCCCGTTCTGTAACCCCCTCAACCCAAACAAAAAATCCTCAATCTCAAACCACCCCGCCCAAAACCAAAAATCCCTAATCTCTTCTTACCCCTCTCTCTACCTCTTTTCACTCATTTTTTATCTTCTTCTCTCTCTTCTCTTTCTCTCTTTTACTCATCACTCTTCTCTGTCTGTCTATTTGTCTCTCTTTCTCTCTGTGTGTCTCTCACTCATCTATCTCTTCTCTCATCTCTTTTCTCTCTCTGTCTCTTTCGTTCATCTCTCTTCTCTCTATCTCTCTCGTTCATCTCTCTTTTCTCTCTGTCTCTTTTTTTATCTCTCACTCTCTATCTTTTTATCTCTTTGTCTCTCTCTCTTCTCTTTCTCTCTCTAACTCATCACTCTTCTCTGTCTGTCTGTCTGTCTCTCTCTCTTTCTCTCTTTGTCTCTCGCTCATCTGTCTTCTCTCTATCTCTCTCATCTGTCTTCTCTCTCTACCTCTCTCACTCATCTCTCTTCTCTTTATCTCTCTCTCTCTCCCCCTCATCTCTCTTCTCTCTATCTCTCTCATCTCTTTTCTCTCTATGTCTCTCTCGCTCATTTCTATATATCTCTCTCTCGCTCATTTTTCTTCTCTCTCTATGTCTTTCTCTCGTTCATCTCTTTTTGTTCTCTTTCTCTCTCTTTTTGTCTATCTCTCGCTCATCTCTTGTTTCTCTCTCTTTTTCTGTCTGTCTGTCTCTCTTTCTCTCTTTGTCTCTCACTCTCTTTCACTCATCACTCTTCTCTCTCTCTCTTTTTCTCTCTATCTGCCTATCTATTTGTCTCCCCCTCATTGTGTTCGCCTTGCTTACTCCCCTCTCCCTTCTTCTTTATTTACCAAGCTATCTTTTGATTTATCAAGACACTACAAGAAAATGCACTTTTAGTGACCACTTTGTCTTTCTATCGCTCATCACTCTATCTCTGTCTCTGTCTCTATCTCTTTTCTCTATCTGTCTCTCACTCATTTCTCTCTCACCACCCATGTCCTCTACCACCTTCACTACTACTGCAAATGACATTCCACTACCACAACTACTACCACTGTTGCCATTCCGCCTCTACGACTATCATTACTACCACCATCACCACCACTTCACTACCACCATTACTACTACCATTACCTCTCATCCACCACCGCTACTCTATCTCCTCTACCACTACCACAACTTCACCACTAATCTCATTCGCTATCACCATCACCACCACCACTATCACCTCTTATCTACCACCTTCACCACTATTGCCGCTCCCTATCCTCTACCACAAAAAATTAGTTCCTGATTTTTAATAACCCCCAATCTCCCCCCCTCGGCCCGCCCCTTTTTTTTCCATTCTCGCTCGGGTTACCAAAAACCCTCAATCATGTCTCTTTGTCTCTATCTCTGTCTCTCTTCTCTTTCTCTCTCTCACTCATCACTCTTCTCTGTCTGTCTATCTCTCTCTTTCTCTCTATGTCTCTGTCTCTCTTCTTTTTCTCTCTCTCACTCGTCACTCTTCTCTGTCTGTCTGTCTGTCTCTATCTCTCTCTTTCTCTTTGTGTCTCTCGTCCATCTCTCTTCTCTTTATCTCTCTCTATCTTTCTCTCGTTTATATCTTTTCGCTCTTTTTCTCTATTTTTCTTTGTCTATCTCTTTTCACCCATTTTTTCATCTTTCTCTCTCTATTCTCTTTCTCTCTATTACTCATCACTCTTCTCTCTCTGTCTGTCTGTCTATCTGTCTCTCTCTTCTCTCTCTTTGTGTGTCTCTCACTCATCTATCTCTTCTCTCATATCTTTTCTCTCTCTATCTCTTTCGCTCATCTCTCTTCTCTCTATCTCTCCTGCTCATCTCTCTCTGTCTCTCTCGCTCATCTCTCTTTTCTCTGTCTCTCTCGTTCATCTCTTTTATTTCTCTGTCTCTTTTTCTGTGTCCACTCTCTATCTCTCTCTCTGTCTCTTTCTCACTCATCACTCTTCTCTGTCTGTCTGTCTGTCTGTCTGTCTGTCTTTGTCTCTGTCTCTTTCTTTTTCTCTCTTTGTCTTTTGCTCATCTCTCTTCTCTCCATCTCTCTCATCTCTATTCTTTCTCTATCTCTCCCATTCATTTCTCTTCTCTCTATCTCTGTCTCTGTCTCTCTCGCTTATCTTTCTTCTCTCTCTGTCTCTCTTTTTTTCTATGTCTTTCTCTCGATCATCTCTTTTCTCTCCCTTTATCTCTTTTTCTTTGTCTATCTCTCGCTTATCTCTTATTTCTCTCTCTTTTTTTTTTTTGTCTGTCTGTCTCTCTCCATCACCACCACTACCACCATCACCTCTTATCCACCACATTCACTATTATTGCCGCTCCCTCTTCTCTACCACAAAAAATTAGCTCTTGATTTTTATTAACAAAAAAAATGGGTCACAAAAAAATATTTTTCATTGACCATAAAAAATTAATTTTATTTTAACAAAAAATATTTTTCATTAAAATATTACCTCTACTTCTACCAAAAAAAAATCATTAAAATAAAAATAAAACAAATTTCCCTCTTTTTTCACTGACTCACTGGACGGCCGGCCCAAATTTCCCTCTTAATTTCCCCATTTTTTTTTCCCTCTGCCTTTCCCCCATTTCTTTCATTTCCTTTTAGGTTTGTAGAGCCCTTAATTTCACGACATTGTTTCAAAACAGTGAGCAAACCTTAATCTGAGAGAGGGAAGATAAAGGGTTTGAAGAGAGACTGGGGTTGAAGGGGAAGGGTTTCAATCGGCGGTGAGACTGGTTCAACAGCGGCGAGACTAGTTCGGTGGCGAGACGGTACGCTTCTTTTGACTCTTCTTTCGACTCTCTCATTCCAGTCGGTTCCTCTATTGACTGGGTTGAAATGGTTCCTCTATATCTCTATGTTGCCCCCACCGCCATAGCTTATTAGTGGTGGTGGTTGTTTTCTGCGAGCATCGGTAATGTCGCAGAAGCGGCAGCAAGAGGACTCCAAGGGCCGTTCGGAGGGCAATGGGTCCGGTGAAAAGCGTCGCAAACAGCCTTCTTTCAGAAGGTCTCTCTCTCTCTCTCTCTGTGAAACAAATTGGAACATCATTATGTTTTGACTCTACCTTACAGACAAACTGGATCGAGTTAATCTTCTAAACATAGACATTGGTCAATTGTATAGGGAGTAAGTAAATTGTATCTTTATTTGTTTTAGTATTATTTTGATCAGTTGACTTCTATTTTGTTGATGTTCCCTATGAATATTATGCTATTGCAACAGGCGAGAATGCATCCATAATCTAATATATGCTCTAGAAATTAAACTTTATATGGGGTTTGTGATTTATGTGATGGTTTGACCATTCTAAACTTGGGAGATTTTATTTGTTTATTTTATTTTATATTATTATTTAGATATTTGTCTTTTTTGTTTATCTTGCACATCAGTATATTCAATGGTGATCTGGAAATATAATTTGAGTTGACAAACTTGCCAAAAACAATATCATTTGCATTGACACAAGAATTTTTGTTAAACTACTTCATTACTAAACATTTTGATCATTTGCATCATTATTTTTATTTTACATAATATGGATTTTAAAGTGACTTCCTTCTTTTTTATTTTTGCTATAGTTCTTATCTTTTTGTTGCCCTTCATTTTGTTAAAGTGATATTCTTCTTCCATTCTATGGTGAAGTTGATATCTTTTAATTATTTAACATAACAAAGATTCCGTAGCTGGCTAATTGTGCGATTATTTTGTATATGTTTTTGGTCAGGTTCAATGAAAATATTATCACTGACCCAGGTTATGTGGATATATTTCCGGCATCATGTATCCCAAAACAGTTGCACCATCTTGTTAAGCCAATTTATCGTTCCACACCCAGTGCATCTAGGGAATCATTAAATTCAAGAGGTGCTAACATGAAGGAAAAAGGATTCTGAATACTAACGGAGCCAAGTAATTTGTCCTCTGTTCTACAGTGGGCATTAGATTCTGAGGTGGCTTTATTAGCTCTCTTTTTGATTATTTTTATTTTTATTTTTATTTTTTAATGAAACTATTCATCACTACATTAGCAAAGCCTGGACTCTGCAATTCCATGAACTGAGCGACTGAGAGTTAAGTGGAGCTGTTGGTGGATAATATATTGTGGATTCTTTGAAGAACCACTGAAAAATTCAATTGGCATTTAACTGCTATATCGTGTGGATGAAGTTCCCTTCTTATTCCAAATTTCATTAAATTTTCATCAAAATGTATATAGAAGTTCCCTTCTTATTCCAAATTTCACTTTTCATCAAATTTGATGAAAAAAAATCACTTCCAATGTTTCATCTTTTTAATTTTTTTTATCAAATTCAAATTTGATGAAGGATTTTATGAATTCTCAATTTGATGAAAAAATGAGTCTCCATTGATTTGATGAAAGGATTGGATGTTATTTTTCAGCAATTTTTCATCAAATGAAAAAAATGGTGAATGATTGGATATGCTCTAACTTGCACCAAACAATTGGTCCAACATAGATGAGTTTCAACGTATGTTAAAGCTAAGTGAATTTCAATCAATGGCTGCTAGTTGCTACACTTTTTGATTCTTAGATGCATAGTAGATCAATCTTGCCAATAGTTGATGGCTTACATTTGTGATTTAGGATTTTTTTTGTGAGGTTAATCAATCCATATTTATTTATTATAATTTCAGTTGGTGCATATGCAGGTCGGCTTTCACCTTCATGCCTGCACGTTTGCAGCAGCATGAAGTCAAGAGAGGGAGATGTTAATAAGATAACTTGGTTAGTTAGCAAATCTCCATGCTTGAATTGAGGTATGTTTAGTGTGTTTAGAAGATGATGGGGATGCCATCACTATTTTTGATGTTTTACGAAGCATTTTGGTTGTCATACCATCAAGTTGTGATAGGGGATGTTAAAGAGACCTTCATCTTATGGTAAATTTATATGGTTGAATTAGGATCACTTTAATAAGGTAGAAGAGTCATCCTTGCTTTTCGAAGTTCTTCTAACGGCAACTAGAATCCTTTGTTTGATTTCAATTACTCACCCAACACTCATGGTTTATGTTCCTATATTTAGGATTCACTATTTGCAAAATAGTTGCTATATTTGTGTGAATAAATGAGTATTTACTTTTGAGTGGTTTGAGTATGGGAGTCTAGTGGTGGGATGCAACAAGTTAAACTTCCTACTTGCATAGCACTTGAAATCAAGGGAATTTTTATTTATTTATTTTCGGGGTATGCTGGTGAAGATCCTTATCCTCTTCAATGTTGAAAATGTTACATAGAATTATTTTATTGCTTCATCATTTGACTAGCAATCTGTTGCTTATTTTCTTAATGCACTCTAGTTCTGTTCTCATTTTTCCTCTAAACCTGTGTTTAGCTTGCTTAAAATCATACATCAAATGGCATGTAATGGCCTTGTTTGATAACTTTTTTTAATAGTCTTTTCCCCCCTGAATGTTTCTTCTAGAGCACATCATGTATCCCAAAGTTCACATTGCACTAAGACTGTCAGGTCATCTTCGACTGGGCGTTGTTCGGATATATTCAAAGAAAGTTAACTATCTGTACCAAGACTACAATTTTTTTCTGATAACCATAAGAAAAGCATTTGCTTCTGTAGAAGTTAATCTGCTAGAAGATGCAACTCATGCACCTTTTGACTCTGTCACTTTGCCAAAACGTTCAAACTTGATGCCTTGAATTTGGATGATGACTTCTCTTATGACGGGTAATTTTCTGGCTACGTATTGCACTTCCGCCTTTATTTGAATCTATAGATAACACTCGATTTTTAATTCTCAGGGCTCAAGATAATCATCTCCGGAGCGAGGTGGAGATAACACTTACATGTGGTAGTATTTCATGTGCTTCCTTGAATTCATATTTTGTAAATTATTGCACTCTAGTTTATGATTTTTTTAGTTCAATAACACTTACTGGTGGTAGCATTACATGTGCTTCTATGTATTCATATTTTGATTAGATAGTTCAAATGATAACTGATTGAACTGGAATTATCATATTGTAGATCAAATTTTGATTTGAAGAGACCTGTACATTACCGTTACTTTCTATTGCACTTGAATTATTTGGTTAGTAGTTAATAACCTCTACACTTCGTGATAAAAAGGTGTTGAATCCTTGGTAGGCGAAACAAAAAGAGGACAGTCGGTTAAATCTTCATTGTGATGAAATAAAAGTTACCAACTATTGTTGATTGCTATCTCTGTTAAAAGGTTTCCATTGATTGTTCGTCAATGATAACCTTGGTTTCCTTTTATTTGCTCAAAAATGCTCTTCATTTACTGGTTATTAATCTGATATTTGAAATGGTTTTTATACAATCTCTAATGAATGAATTTTTTTAGTTGGGTAGCATGTAAGATTTGATTTAAATGTTGTGATTAAAAGGTATTCATCACTGTTTGTAAGTTAAATTATAAATTTGGTTTGGTTTCCTTGTATTTGCTCATAAATACTATTCATTTACTGGTTTATTAATCTAATATTTGAAATGGTTTTGTACAATCTCTAATAAAAGAATTATTTTTGTTGGTTGGCATGTAAATATTTGATTTAAATGTAGTGATTAACACTGGTTGAAATTTATGGCTCAGGGAGCAATAATGGGACCGCTGATAACTATTGTTGTCATTGCTCTCAAGGATTTGTATGCTGAATTTGTTTTGGATGAATTGAAGAAGAGTGAGACGTAGAGCGCTGCTAGGCATGCTTTTAGTGCTTGCTTCCTGAGAAATGTTCATCGCTGCCTCAAAAACGCGTGTACATTATTGGTTGAGCTAATTAGAACCCCAAAAAGAAATATCAGAATTGTTTGCTTTAGAGTGGATGTGTTTTTACCAATCTGTTGGCAGTGCATTTATCAAGTTTTGTTGGCTGCATTTTCTCTTTAGGACAGTCTTTTTGTTTTTGTTTTTGTTTTTTTTCTTCTATTTATGGCGTGAGCATGGTGTAAAAAGTAATCGATCAATCATGTACTCCCTTGGTTGTTGGTTGTGTGCTCTTAAAAGAATTTTGTACAATTTCGATATATTTAATATATTTGTTGATGTAGAAAGCTTATTTGATCCCTTTTTCTTTTTTTGGTAATTTGGATAAAAAAAGGTTGGTATGTTTTTTGGGTTTACTTTTTTAAAATTATATCGAAATGTTTACTTTTTTTAAAATTATATAAAAAAATATTTACTTTTTAAATCTATCTTGACTATACAATTTTAAAAAAAAATACTAAAAGCAAAAATAAGTTCATTTTTTAAACTCTTTTTTGACAACAATTGACTTGTGAATCTTTTAAAAATGTTAAATAACTAAAGATGAGGATAAGTCTAACTGAAAAAGCAACTACTATTTTTTAATCCCAACAAAAAGTGAAACTCAATAGAGAGAATAAAGCAATTATTTTCCAATTTCACACAACGAAACAACATTTAGCTATGGAATCTCATCACACAACAACTATTCACCAACAAAAATGGTTGCTTTGCACCAAGGTAGAACACAGACATCAATCAATCAATTCTCGACAATTTCATGGGATGTTAACATATTACAATGGAATCTCAATTTCTTAAATCGTTTTCTTCACCTAATTCATACTTGCACAATCAAACTCTTTCTTAATAGTGAGCGCTATTAGATCTGATTCAATTCAATTGAACATGAAACTTAAAAGATGGCAAGTTCCTTCTTTATCTGTTCAAGTTCAAGCAAAAGAGCTTCTGTGTCATCCTCATCATCTTCATCATCGTCACTAAACACAAAATAATGACACCTCCGTAATAACAAAATTCAAATAGTACATTTACATGTCAGTAATAACAAAATCAAGTGTTAGAAAAAAAATTCAACTATATTCACATGCACATTTGCATATTGTCTTCAAGATTATACTTTAAAAACATTTCATCCTTTATAGTAACTGATTTGAAAAAAATGGAGCAAGTCTATCAAGTATAAATCGACAATCACACCACAAGTTGACAAATCAGGCCATTGGTATAAGCTTTTTGTTAACATATGAATTAATTCAGGTAAGTTTGCAATGAGTGACAACCTTCCATCGTTGTTCTTAAGTTCCACATCAGCATCATCGGCATCTACACTGCGTGGAATGAGGCGATCTTCAGCATCTCTCCTTGTCCCTGTAAAATAAGTAGGAAATCAGTTGAATAATTACGTATGCATAGCTAGTGTTTTTGGTACACAAAGCATGGAAGGTAGTACTCACCTTCCAATAGAAGGTGGCCTCATTTTCTACGATCTCTGTCGTCTACACCCATAAATAATTTGATACAAAACAATTACAAAATACTGTCCAACAACAAAACAACAACAATAGTAAAGGAAGAAACATATAGCAAAAAGGGTTGTCAAAAACTTCTCTACCACTATAGGACTTATCCTTCAACGAGAAATGCCTCCGTTCCCGCTCCTCCAACTCATCACGGAGATTCCTCTTCTGCAATTCCTCTTTAGTGTCTTGGCCATCCTTTCTGCAGCAAATATTCTAATCAGTGAACAGTTTCTGTAGATAGGCGTTAGAAAGAAAAACAGCTGCATGCATATGCAGATGACATAGAAGTACTACCATGGCCGCATAAATAAAGAATTAAAAAAACAAAAAATAAACAAGAACGGATAGGCCTGGTTTGAAGTACTACCAGAACCCAAACAAAAAAATCATGACGCCTAGTATTTGAATTAGAGGGGCTCCCCATACCCCACATCAGTTGTCCACCACAATATTTTTCAAACTCTTGCACATTCAATTTTAGAACACCCCCAGCTCCAGTTGTGTGTTCGTCTTTTGTGCTGGGAAACTAACATGTGGCCCTTATATTCAAATATGTTTATCACTTCACTAAAAAATGTTTGCCAAATAATTATTTTCACAATCCCTCTGTTGGCAGAGAAAGGGACAAGGGGCGGAAATTGTAAAGAACCAGAAAGAAATTAAAGCCAAATTTCTTAGTTAAGTCCCATCCCTAAGTATCATGATTGGGTTGACAAGGCCAAACCATCACCGTCTTTATCAGCACATGGTCATTAAGCTTTCTTATTGTAGAAACTGTCCTCAAATTTCAACTTCTCCTAAACAGAGATGTCATTGATCTGAACCTTTTGAGGGCATTCCCTCACTACAAGTGAAAATTTCAACTTCTAAGCAGAGGTGTCATTGATCTGAGTCTTTTGAGTGCATTTCCTCACAATGAGTGAAATTGCTTCAGCGCACCTACTGTTTATGACGTTTCAAATTGAAAGACTCAGATTTCATTTTATACATTATATACTAAAACTTAGCCATTTTATCAAGTATAAATTGTAATTCTCGTTTCCAAATATTTGAAATATGAAGTTCTTGGTAGGGGTTGTCAAAATCCTTAAAATCATAAAGGCTTAACTTGCGTGACAATAGGGGACTCAAATCTCAAATTGCATCTTAACGATCACAATTGGAGATCATTACCTCAGACCATATAATTGCTTTTACTAGATAGTATCCACCTTAATGGTTTTCCAGAATATTCATATTATGCAATCAAACCCTAAAGAGAATTATAAACCTTAAAATGTGGAAATTGCAGAAGTTCCAACCTGGGCTTTAGGGTTGTGTGAGAGGCAATGCCCCTTGAAGAGTATTTTTGGGACGGGCTGAAAATTCGAGTACCACCTTGTTCATTACCACCTTTTGCAGGTGCCCATGTAGGTCGAGCTGCAGTTGTCATGTTTTGTAACAATCCTCACGAGCTCGGATATCTGTAAAAGTCAAAGCAGCTATTTAAAATCCGATTAAAGAATACCTCTACAAGCAACAAGAAAGGCAAAACGTAAGACACCAAAGCAGTATCAAGAGCAACAGTAAAGCACACAACCTCATTCGATGACTCTATGCAATCTAATATTTCTATCAAGCATAAGATCTATTACAAGGTGCTAAATCTATCACACCCAACAAGTTCCTGCCCCTCTCTCCTTTTCAATGAAAGAATAAATCTATATCTATATCTATTCTACTATAAAATGTCTTTAGAAGGGTAAAACATTTTTAGGACAGGATCATCGCTACTATGGTAAATAATGGTCATAGCATTTTGCAACTCACAACTTTAAAAACCTTTTCTAGACATTTAAAAATCTAAGCATTTTTTTATTATAAAAAAATTATTGATATGGTCAAAACCTGCAATCCCACACAGTTAACATTATAAATTTTTGCACAGAAATATTCAAAACATGTGATATGGCCACCAAGTACAATCCTACTATGTTACCTTTATGTAGAGAACTCATTGAGGCATTTCATCAAACAAGAAACAAACATGTTTCTTGTTGAAACAATATATCCAAACAATGAATCTAGTTCGTAAATAATGACTGTTCATGTTTTTGTTTGCTGTTGAATAAAGATTTCAAGTTATATCTTGATTTAACTGTTTTAAGTAAAAATTCTCCATACCAAGATCTGAAAATATTGCCATAATCAAAATAGTCTAGAGGTGGCAAATGGGCGTGTTTGGGCAGGTTGAAATGGGTAACGGATCAAAAGAGTGTTAGCCCAAAATCATCCATTTAGATAGCGGGTTGGATATGGGTGGGTCAGATACGGTCACTCTTTGGTTCAACTCAAGACGCAAGCAATGGAATTTACGGGTTATTACCTTTTTTGGTTGGATGTCCATTGGGTTAACTTAGGCCTTGTTGGGAAAATGGCTAAATGTCAAAAGTCAACTTTTAATCTATTTTTGATCATATCATCTCTCTATTTTTTTATATATTTCTTAATTTTTTTTTTTTAAAAAGTCAAAAAATCAGTTTTTAACCAACTTTCCAAAAACCCATTTAAGCCCAAATAAAAACAAGTATATTTGTAATAGGTCCTTCCCAAAAAATCAGTTTCTTGATTTTGAATTATACGACATTGATTAATTGGTCCTTTCTTTCATCACACGGGCATAATTCGTATCTTAATTTTGAAATTTCCTGCAAAAGAATATTCATAAATATAGTTAACACTTAAAAATTTTAAGAAGAATTTAAAACATTGAGTACAATATACTCATGCAAGCTATTTGACAATACAAGAAATATTATATCCTACAAACTTAACAACCAACATCTAAAAATTGAAGCTATTAGAAAGTGTAATTGTATTTACATCATCAATGCACTTCCTCGTGTGGCCAAAATCCCGTCCATGAGCGAGCCAATGACAATTGTGTATGACATCTGTAAGGTAACTGTGCAATACAAGCTCAAGACTTGTTTGCTTTAATGCCATGTTAAAAACCATTTGCTCAACTCCTCTAAAATCTTTTAAGAGCCATTGTTGGTTAACATGGCATCAAAATGGGAAGGTCTTGTATTCAAGTCTCAAGCTCACCTAATAAAATTTAAGGTATGCATGAGTTTGCCAACTCAATAAAATAAATTTGGCCATACCAGAGGCAGCCTGTTGACAATATAAAAAAAAAAAACTTCAAACCCTTTCCGATTGCTTAAAACCTTAAGAATTTGGTTCTTATTTGGAGTTTGGCACACATGAGGGGGCATGTTGACAATATATATTCTTTAAGCTACACCCTTTGTAACAAGTTAAGCTTTTAGAGCAGTTTGTGAATACCAAACCTACAATGGGTTACATTATAGAGCTTATGAATTGAAAAGATATTATTCTACTCCCATAAACTTATTTGTTTGTCCTTCAAATTGTTGATGTTGATAATTTATACAAAAGGACAACATCATCATATGATTTTGGCCATTAAACCAACAAAAGTTGTCATTAATAACCAAACAGTTCTGTTACCCAATTCAACTCACATCAAGCAACTTCTTTCTCAAAGTCAAGTTTGAAGACGTTAAACAAGCTATGGAAATAGGGAGTGGACAAGTCTTTTCCTTGATATTCAAAGAAAATTTGTTTTTACAAGCATTTACAACCAGGCAATTCATTGGAAGTTCAAGTTTTCAAAAATAGAGTAGTTTTGGTAGTAGAACCAATCTATCTTTCCCAGTGCACTGCTCCTTCTTACAGGTGGGTTGGGAGAGAGAGATAAATAATATTGCAGTTCATAGATTTATCAACCCAAAAAAAAAATATTGCAGTTCATA